ATTGAAAAAAAAAAAAAAAAAAAAAAAAAAACTTGTAGAACTTGTAGAACTTGTATTATTCCAATTTTTTCTAGTACAGTCTTTTAATTATATATTCTAAACTCGCAATTTCGGATATTACTTTTTCCAAATTAAACCACTTTCAAGAACTAAGTTGAATTATAAAAGACAAAGTTACAAAGGACCAAGACTACATCAAGCCACAATCTTTGTATTTGTTGTGTGATTTTGGTGTCTGCTTTCCTCAATAAATTTCAATGTCAGGGGTGTTTATACCATTCTTTTTATCAAATTGGGTATGTCATTACAATATTCATTGGAGGTGGCAATTAAACTGTAATGTTTGCTTCAAAGATAATAGGTAATTCTATTGTTTGAAATAATCAAAGTTGTGATGGTAAGAGAGTTGTTTTCAAAAAAAACATTAAGCATTTTTTTAAATCACAGAAAAGAATTTATTAAGTAATTTTAAATTTAAATTTTCTATTGATTATTACGTGTAAGTTATTTGATAAGATATGGTAATCATAAATACAATCTGTACTGTAGAAGTGAATGATTAATATCAAACCATATTTTTCTTTTCTTTTTAGGCACATCTTAGTTAATGTGGTTTTCACTCATGAAGCAATTTTTGAAGTGAAAGCCTTCAAAAAAATAAATTATTACTTTTTAAGATAATTTGCTAAAAACACATAATAATATTAAATAAGCCTTTGATTTAAAATCTATGGTGGTTCTTGGTTTTAAGCTATTTTTTAAAATAACAAGATTATTTTTTTATTAAGATTGAAGAAATATTTAATATCAATAAAACACCTTCTCTAAGTTTTAATATTAAAAAAAACTTAGTGAACTCATATTTGTATACAATATATTATAATAATTATTTTTTATTACATAGTGATGATCATTATTTACTATAGATTTAAATATCTCTTTGAGACCCACAATAGTAATTTACTATATGAAGTAAGGTGCACTTTCTAATCAAATAGAAAAGATAATACTTACGTACAAGTCTTGTAGACTATTAAAAATCAAGGCATTTTAAAAATATTTCTAAATTATTTAGACATTAAAATATTAAATTTTTAGGATAATTATTTAAAATTTTAGTTCTAGAAAATTTATTTTTTTTAACTTTTTAAAAATTATAACTAATCAAATACAATCCTTTAGAGAAAAAACCAAATGACAACTAATTCTTTGATTATACACCAAATTTACATCTATTTAAGGTATAGACTTTGAAATATAAAAATAAATCATTAAAAAGATTTTAAAAAAATTATAAGAGATTTAAAGCACGATCTATGAAGTAATATCATTAAATTATAATTAGAGGATTAATTTAAAGAATAAAATGAATAGCACTCAAATGTAATGAAATTATATTTTAGAATTAGATTATTAAATAAACATCAAGAGAATTGAATGCTTTTATTTGTAAGATTTTTTAAAAGTTGGAATCGAATAAAAAATAACTAATACCAGAATATTTTTATCTTTATTTATAAGATTTTATTATACTAAAACTTTATTCAAATAGAATTTTTGTCCTTTGGCATGGACCAAATAATTAAATCACAAACAATATCATTAGAATTTGAAGAACTGATGGTAATAAGTGGTCTATTTAAATCTTTTGAATTTAAGAAGAAGGTACAAGAGGAAAATATATCTTTTATAATGAAACATTTTTAAGGTATTAATTTAATATTTAAAGTCATCTACATTACAACTTCAATAAGAGAAATAATTTTATGTACTTACTAGAAGAAATTGTAATTACAAAAGCCAAAAGAATATGGAACTAGCTTCTTATATAGTCTAAGTAAACAATAGAACTAATAAAAACGTTAGCTAGCTTTATATATAAAGTAAACAAGTTTTTATAAAAATACTTAATCAAGTGAAAAATATAATAATTTGGCCATTAGTTATAGAGACTTATATTTTTTAAATTAAAAATTATATGTAGACAAAGAGAAAAAGAATGAATATATATATATATATATATATATATATAGATAAACATATGAAATATAATTTTAAATCAAGTAATTAAACTACAAAAATGTGATTGGCACAAAATTCTGAAATATAGCTAGTAATTTTTCTAATATTTTTTGAAAAAATCCAAATACTTGTTAAAATTTTACCTACAAAGAGTCAAATTCAAAAATTTGGCAAAGAAAAAGAAAAAGAAAAAAACTCTAGTAGCTATAACTAACAAAAACACGAATAATATCCTTTTTAGAACATTCTGGGAAATTTTACAATATATATATATATATATATATATAACCAAAAAAAAAAAAAAAATTGAACAACCAAGCAAACAATTATAAACCATAATGAAAGATTCTAAACAAGTAAAAAAAAATCAAAAATCAAAAATCAATGAGAGAATTGTTGTGCAGTGAGAATTTAGACATGCTAAAGCACTCTTTGTGTAGTAACTTGTTTGTTACATAGTTACTATGTAAAGAGAGCTTTAATGATGCAGATGCTGAGATATGTTCACAATGCACAAAATAAGATGCTTCCTGCAGTATTTATGAGACTCTATTCTCATCATACATTGTAAATGCATAACATTTTTTTTTCTGACATGTAATGGTTGTTTCCCTTTTGTTCACATGGACCTTTTTTCTTACCGCAAATGCACATGTCTGCAAGGAAACTCTTGAGCTATGGTCACTTTGTCATTCATGGCCACAGTTTCTTCCAGTTGGCTCCTAATCAAAACTCACAGTATATATATATATATATATATATATAGTTATTAGCAAATGACTATTCATCAGGTTTTAGGGTTTCAAAATCCCTATTCATACATGATTCCTTGGAGTTTTATTTTAGTACATTTATTTTTTGCAAGAATTTAATCTGGTTGCAAAATGAGGTTGAGGGCTGGATGAGGTGAAGCTGTGGGTACCATGAACACAGGATTCTGCAAAACCACCCCCCACATTCAACTTGTGCAAAGAATATTGCCAATTGGGTAGTTGCTTTGGACATCTTGCATTGATTATTCTTAAACTCCACATTGCTTTGTGAGTTATGGGTTTTTGCATTGACTATAATCACAGTTAGGGCTCTCTTGGACTCTCTTCCAGTAGAGGCTAACATCTTTTAGAAAAAACCTTATTACCCTTGGATTATAGGCAGCTAAATTAAGAAAACATGTTAAAAAATTTGAACTTGTCTGAACTCTTCATTTTTAACAAAATTTTTATGAAGATAGTACTAAATAGTTACACAAATGAAATTTTTGTAAATGGTTTTTACTATCCTAATGTTTATGCATCTCAGGTTCATTGAAATTTAACAGTACAAACATACAATACATGTTAATTTTGTTCTTTGTTGCAATAGCATTTGTGTGATATCAAACCCAATAGTGGTTTTAAATATTTTATGGCCCCATCAAAATATAGTTGAATCTATACATATATTTTTTCTGAATACATGAACGTACTTGGTCATCATATCATTTATGTGTTTAATGATATTTTCAATTATAATTTATATCATATACCATTGTAATATTATATTTCACAGTGCTTTAGCTGCTGAGAAAAATGGTTATATGTTATTTATTTATTTATTTATTTTCTTCTTCTTCTTTTACGTATCTTTTCATGTTGATTTTTTTATATACATTGTTTTTCATATGAGTTTAAAATTCTACAGAATTTCTTTAAGAATTTGATTTTTCTTTTTTCTCTCTCTCTTTTTTTTTTTTTTTTTTTTTTTTTTTTAAGATAATGAAAGAAGAAGGCTTGATTCAACAATGTTAAGGTTTAGTAGCCAAAAAATAATTGGTAGATTATTAAAACTCAAAATCACTTGGTTCTAAAAATCTTTAAAATTATTTATTAAAATTTTAAAAAAATAAATATTTGGTTTTTTTAATATTTTTTGTATAGTTAGACTTTTATATTATGTTTTTTCAATAAGAATTCAGTATTAACTATATATAAAACTTGAAAATTAATTTAAAAATGTATATATATATATATATATATATATATATATATATATACATATATATATTTTTTTTACCAATTTTTTTGCTTGCATAATTATTTATAAATAAGTGATATATGTATGAATATATATATATATATATATATGTTTATTTAAGCTAAAATAAATAGTTATTTTCACTCAATATGGCCCCAGAATCCTCGAAAAAAAGTATAATTATTTTTTATACTCCTGCATTTATTAGCTTTAGTCTTTAAACTGTTTCTCTTTAAATTTCAAATTTGTTTAGATTTTATTTAAAATATTTATTTAATAAATATTTCAATTCCTAAGTTTTAAGAATTTGATTCCTATATTTTAAAAAGTAATCACAAGATTTACATGGATAATATAGTTTTTATTTTTTCTATCTGAATTAAAAATATTCTTCAGTATTTTTTGTGATTTGGTGATTGTTTTTTTATTTCTTAGACTTTTTTCTATTCTCACTTCGAAATATTCTTCTTATTGTACGTTACATTAAATAAAATAATATAAAAATCGACCTATTAATTTTTGTTTGTGTTTGGATGTTTTAGTATCTCACTTGTGCTATGCCATAGCCTCCGAAATGACTTTGAAACCATTGTCACCAAATCAACTCAACTTCGCCAAAATCTCTATTGTAGTGTCAACTCCTCCGCGGGGAATGTAACAATGGATGCTAGACCTGGATCTCACCACGTAGCCCAGAAAGACACAACACACAGAGCGCGAAGGGCTGGGAAGGAGCAAGTACGTGCAAGTTCTCCACTGCAGGCGGAGGTTGGAGAGTAGTGGTAGCGCATCATCCTGCCGCTCTGCAAAGGGGAGGCAATCAGATCAGAGCCACCAGAACTGCTGGTCCAAATATAACCATTGCACCCAAGTGAACCTTTTTGAAGTGTCAGAAGGTTTTTGGGCACCAGTTTCCTGGGCATCGTCGTTACCTTTTTGGCCCCACTGCCTAAAAGGTGTCGTCCTGGACTCTTTGCCTTGAGCGGCTCTCTACCCTCTCTCACTTGCTTGCCCCCCTGGCCTTGCTTCAACGCCAATGCTTGCTTCACCCCACCCAACCCCACCCCCAAGTCCTTTTCTTTTTGCCTTCGTTTTCCCCTTTTCGGCCCTCTCCCTATCTCCTTGTGGCCATCTGTGTGGGTCAGGAAGCGATCGGAGATCTTGGAAACCTGCATCGAAGTTGATGTTGTTGATGTTGTTGTTTGCCAATTCGGTCTCCAGTGTTGAGAATTGATTGATCGTTGGGAGGAGTCACTTGAGGTGACGTGACTGAGAGAGGTGGAGAGTTCGTTTGTGGGGTTCAGGAAAAAAACACGCCGAGAGCGGTGCCGAGAGGTGGGGGTCAGTGAACACCAGGGGTGTGGTCACTGGCGTGAGTGTGTGGGGTAGAGGGTCGGGGATTTTGGAATCGGGTGGGTGTTGTGAGAGACGGAGGTTGCTTCGCTGGGACGTCTTCCAGGACCCGGTTTTAGGTGAGCGCAAGTGCTGGGATTGTAGGTGAGTGAGTGCACTTTTTCGCAGCTATGGTTGCCTATGCGTGGCATTATTCAAAAGTGACGGTACAGATATCCGTAAGTAGTCCATTGTGCATTGCGAGGAATGTCGCGGGAGATGTTGAGGGCGCAGTGGAATAGATGTGATGTCTTTCGGGAAGTGGAGTGACTCGCATTGAGTGGCGAATGGGGGTTGAAAGACGTGCCAATCTCGCAATTTTTTTTTGTTGTGGTTGTTTCGTAGCGGTTTTCCTCCGAAGCACTCTACTCGTGCACTATTAGCTTCAAATGGAGGTTCTAGGCAAAAGATTGCGAGCATCCATGCCTACCGGGACATCCCCACAAGTTCTTGAGACTTCCGGGCAGGAATACCCCAGCCAGATTTTGCACTCCCTCCCGGACCAACTGGCTATGAAATGTCTTGCCCGGGTTCCTCTCTCCAGCCTTCGAGGTGTCAGCAAGACATGGCAGAATGTCATCTATGATCCTTACTTCCAGAGCCTCAGGACAACGAATGGAAGGTCCCAACTGGAATGGGTCTACGCATTGGTGCAGTCGCAGGACAAGAGCTTCCGATGGCGAGCATTCGATCCACTCTCTAGCGTGTGGTATGACTTGCCTCCAACGCCGTACCCTATGGAGTTTCAGCTCCACAATCCTGGGTGCATTGGAGTCTCGTACTTCGTACAATGTGCCAGTACACTGGACAAACTAGTCATGGTGGCGGGTTTGAAGGCCAAGAAAGATGGAAGGAACAGGATGATCATGGAGCCAGCTCTGGAACAACCATACATATTCGACACCCGGACGAGTGAATGGAAGCTGGGGACGCGTTTCAGTGTGCCACGGAAATGGTGTGTCTGTGGGGTGGTTCAGGAGAAGGTGTACGTCGCAAGCGGGTCTGGAAAGGACTGGGACCGAGAAGTGTCCAAGTCTGCCGAATTCTATAACCTTGTGAACGATAATTGGGAGAAGATGATGAGCTTGTCTACTTCCAAGTTCAGCGGAGAAGCCATGACAGCCGTGACAAACGACAATAAGCTGTATTTCGTAAGCGGTCGGGGTGTATTCTCCAAGGAAGGAGTCGTGTATGACCTTGCGACCGACTCGTGGTCGGATATGGCTCCGGGCCTGAAGAGAGGCTGGACTGGTCCGTGCGTAGCCGTGAATGGAAGATTCTACTTGCTGGAAACCCCAGCAGGGAGGCTGAAGGTGTACGTTCTGGAGAAGGACGATTGGGATGTGATCATGGAGGATGCGAGGCTGGGAAATCTGGAGATGTTCGTCGGAGCGAAGGGCAAGATTGTTTCTATTGTAGGGCTAGGGATGGATACTCAGCCAAGTGCAGGGAGCGTTCTGCGAGTGATCGACATTGCTTCTGAGGCTCCGCAAATTTACGATATTCCAGTGAATGAGGGGAAGGTTATCTCGGTGCAAGTTCTGGGAATGATGGGTCGTCGTCCCAATCCATAAAATTAGCAGAGACTCTCATTCGAAAAAGTCATTCAAGTATTGACTGCACGCATGCTCAGTAAAGTCAATCTGCAACTTGTACGAGAGATGCTGTCCCAGGCATCGGCTACGGCTTCAACTTGCTGCTACGAGATATCTCGAGAACCGCACCATGTTTAGGCCGAATACTGTGCTCGCCCTGGACAAAAATCAATTATCCCTGACCCCAAATCAGCAAGGAGATGAAGTCCACTATTCCTCGCACGAGCTAATCGTATGAATCGAAATTCAAAGCACTAGATCGGGATATACTGATGCCCAATACTTTGAGCCCTCTGTCTGACTTCACTTATCAACATGAGCATATTAACCTTTTATGAGGGTATGTTGGCAGTTGCTGTGACAACGACCTTACAGGTCTATAATCTCTACAAGTTGCATTCCCTGATATATTGAACTATACTACGTCCTCTATCTTCGATCTGGAAGAAATGCAATAAGTTGGCCGAAGTGCTTGACTAAACATTTTGCTTCTTGACTAACATTTCAGCGTAGTTCTCAGAAGTGAATTATCTCTGTGAGTGCCGCAAGTTTCAAACCCTGCTCTACACTCCCATGACTTCAACCAATAGCAAGATTGCAGTCAGAGCATTAGCCCTCCAACGATCGGGTGAGAAGTTAGTGAAATGGCAAATAGTCACATCTCACTGTTTCGAGGCAGTCCACAACTGAAGGAGGATTTTTAGCGAAATGGTCGCTTTCGAAGAGAGTATCAGTCAAATTATTCATCGTGCAAAATATCCGCAGCTGATACACTTTCCAGTGAGGTGGAATGACAATCTCCAGATGTGAAGGCAGGTGGGAATGTGATAATGTCAAATGCGCAAAAATTACAAATGTGTCTCAGTTTGTGTTGCTAAGTGACAGGAAAGTGACAGGCTCTTAAGTGGTAAGTACATCACCCTACGTGGAGTTCTTCAGAGCCAGAAAGAACAAGCAAGTAATATGTGGTGGAGAGAAGGGATCCACAGGTCATGGTTGGCTTTATAAAGAGCAAGCAGCAACCGCACTTTTGCAGAAACGGTCCGAATTCTGCTCTTGCTAATTGCTGAGTGGAGGAATTACACAAGCAGTGATAGAATGTAGTTTAAACTACACATAATCATCAACAGAAATATATCTCTCCAAGCATTCTGCTGCGGTGCTACTCGCAACTACCTTCATCCTATGAAACTCATCCCCAGCAAGCGATGCAGCCCTATGTGTTGAGACAGAGAAAATGTTGATCGACGTACTTTATTGTCTACTTTTTTAACAACCCAAATGATCGGCAGCTTGTTACTCTTCGTTTTGAAGTGCATAGGCGAATCTCATTGCCCAAGGGGGTAGGATTTCGGCTTACCTCATGGATTTCGAAGGTATCATCTCATATTCTTACATGGCTCAATTACTATTCATCTTATAGAACTCATAGAAATTACATGTAATATCATGGAGTGCTTAGAAGTTATTCCTAATAATCTAATTATACTCTTATCCTACTTCTATAGAGACTGAAAAACAAGACCAAGATAATATAATCCATTCCATCTTGGTCCAAATCCATCCAAAAAGCCACTTATATTAAAACAAATGAAAAATTTCTTCACTGACATTAATAAATAACTATTTAACTTTATAAATAACTAGCTATGTAGAATGAGTCCAAAAGAGATTGTAAAATAAAAAAATTAATTATTTGAACTAAATATATTAATTAAAGATATTTCCTAAGAAAAACTAATTATTAATATTTAAATTTAAAGACTCCAAACTTAACAAGAGACATAATTAAGCCACTTTAAATTAGAAAATATCTTAAAATACATAGTATAGCTTATTTTAGTATAGCAATGCTACTTTATTTTAAGTGAATTAAAGATGGATGAAATCTGGCTACAAAAGTGTCCAAAAATATCTATATTCATCAAATTTGACAAACACAATCAGACTGCTTTGAGTGTAGAATGCTCTCAAATCAGAAGTTGATTTAGCAATACTTGTCTTTCTCCCAAGTAATCATAAAGAAGTCAAATTCAGTTGTGTTGGTATTAGGAAAGATAGAGACCAATCCACCACAAAATCTTTGGGATTGTAGAAAACGGCTATTATAATGAGACTACTTGATATTAAAATCTATTTGTAAATTGTTGTACTTATCAATGGTGACTTTGAAGGCACTTTTCTTGAGATAGGCATACACCATTGCTATGTGGTTGTTTTCAATATCTTCAATTGTGTGAGTGTCCTATCGAGCTTTCTTAAGGCCATGAATCTTGAAAAAAGAAATCCTCAAAAAAATATGATATCACTCAAAAGGACTAAAAAATTATTCAAAGATAATATAGTATTAAAGTAGAATAATTATTACTAAAAATAAGTAGAGTAGAAAGTCTTAAAATAAGACTAAAGACTAGAAAAGCATTGACAAGAGTGAAGAAGGCTTCACTTTTGCCTCCATGTATATTCTTAATATATATATATATATATATATATATAAATATATAAATATAAATATATATATATATATATAGTAATGTCCTATAAGTCCTCTACAATGTTGGTGTGATGTAAAATGACTAATAGGTGAAAAGATGAAGAAAATATCATAATTTTGAAGATTTTATTTCAAATATATTGTAAAAAAATTATCTTGGAAAAATAGATAATAATCAAGGAGTAGAAAAATTAAAAGTGCTAATACTGCCTTTTTAAAAAATAGGCTTCTACTTACTTTGTAGGACCACAAATAGAGAAAAATAAGGTAGATTAGAAAAATAAACAATATAGACACTTTTGAAAAGAAATTAAGAGTGGTTTGCAGTAAAAATTACTTAGAAAAACTAGATATTGATACCTGAAGAGGGCCGATTATGAATTAGGGCCGAAATCAGATTCCAAGGCACAAAACCAAGCCTTGACAATGATTCTCGGATTCTTTGGCAAATCAAATAGTGGAATTAGAGAGCAGACTTGATAGAATGTTGATAAGCATTGATTTGAGGTGATTTGGATTTGTATTGACTTTGTAAGAGCTTTACAAAGTTAGGATTTGTTTTGGATGACTTTAGTTTTATGAAATGAAATGAGAGATATTTTTTGAAGAATTTTGTAAGTTTGGCAGTAGATCCATAGGTGAAATTTTGAAGGTTTAGAGATTTATATGTGTTCAATATATTCTGTGAGTTTGAGCTTGATCGAAGGATTGGATCGAGGGTTATTGACATTTAAGTGGATCAAGGTCTCAAAAGTAGAGTTTTAGTTCTAGTGAAAATTTCTAAGATTTTTTGCAATCTACTAGTTGGATTGGAGTGAAAATTATGTGTGTAGATAGTAGACTTATTTTTCTACATATGTGAGAAATTTGAGAAAAATTGAATAGTTCAATAAGGAGATATTAGCGCTGGAAATTCAACATTTAGATTGGAGAAGGACAACATCTGAGCAAATGTTAGGATTGATCTTCTTTTTGGTAAGTTCGATTTTCTTCAAAATGTTTGTGCTTGTTGTCAAGTTAATTGTTAAGAGGTGTTCATTCATTAGTTATTGAGGTTTAAATTTTCTATAGGAATTACTAGGATTTATTTAGGATTTGGTTTATGTTTGATTAAGATTTGATTAGGATTTGATTAGGATTTATTTAGGATGTGGTTAGGATTTATTTAGGATTTGTTTAAGATTTTTTTAAGATTTAGTTAGGATTTGGTTAGGATTTGACTAAGATTTATTTAGGATTTTATTAGGATTTGTTTAGAATTTGATTTTGATTTGTTTAGGATTTGATTAGGATTTGGTTAGAATTTGTTTAGGATTTGATTAAGATTTGGTTAAGATATGTTTAGGATTTGTTTAGGATTTGTTTTAGATTTGATTAGAGTTTATTTAGGATTTATTTAAGATTTATTTAGATTTTTGTGTAGATTTGTTTAGGAATTTTTGAGGATTTGATGAAGATTTATTTAGAATTTGGTTTATGTTTAATTAGGATTTGATTAGAATTTATTAAGGTTTGACTATGATTTATTTAGTATTTGATTAGAATTTGACTAGAATTTAATTAGGTTTTGATTAAGATTTAATTAAGATTTCTATTTTAATATTTTATTAAGATTTCTATTTTAGTATATTTTTGAATTCTATATTATATCTTTATGATTGTTTTAAGGAATCTATATGAATATTTTATATTTTTTACATAATTCTTGTATAATTTTGATTGAATTTAATTGATATTTGATTATATTTATTAATCTTTAATTATAATTTGTTTAAGAATCTATTAGAATTGTTAAGACTTGGTGTTGTAGTTTTCCTTTTATCTTCTACAGCTAAATGTGTAGTGCATTGTCAAACCAAATGCCATGTAATACGACAATGTGTTGACTTTGTAAGACATATATCTTAACTTGAATGATCAGTTTTCTATATGTGCACCACATAATTAGCTCATTTTGCAAGCTATCAATACATGGTTAATTTTTTGTCTAAGTTTTTAGCCTACCAATCAAGTATAAATATATTTATAATCAAAGTAGCATCTGAGAAGCTTTTTGAAAGCTCCTTTAGAAAATATTATGAAATAAATCTACTTTTATTTACTTCTACTTAATCATATAGGTAAATATTAAAGTAAATATTTATATTTTTGACAAGTTGATTTTAATCCCATCTTATGTTGATAAATTAATATGTACAAAAGAGATGTATGTATATGACAAAGATTATCGGGCATGATTTTAAAAGTATTATGATTACTAGCATTGTTGTTCAATCACGTTGGACAATAATAATAGACATGCTATTGACAAGATAAGTAAACAAACTTACCACAAAATAAACCATATCTTTAATATCTTTTGTAAGCTATGCATTTAAAGTGCTCATAACAAAACTTTTTTTTTCTTGAATAAAGGCGTCCGCATTAGTGAAAGCTACAAAAAATGATCCATAGATGACATTGAAGGTACTATCAATCTAAATAAGAATTGCAGCAATATACAGAGTATGCACTTTATAAAGTAATATGAATATTTGAATCAAGTCTTTAAGTTATATATTTTGCTAATTAAAGAAAGTATTTAGTTCTTGTAAGCATATCAAGATAATAGATATCACTTTTTTAATATCATCAAATATAAGGAATATCATCAACTAAGTAGGAAGAAAGATACATGTTAGTTTCTTTTGGTTAAGATACTCATAGATAACATTATATTTTTGCTGTAAAAAGTTATAGAGTTTCTTTATGGTTGATCAATATATGCGTATAAAATTTGGGCATGTACAATCTATCTTTCTGATAAGATTAGATTGGAAAAAAAAAGTAAGATATAAGGTG